AGCCCCCATTCATTCTTTGGAAGAGCAGAGGAGGTGCTGTTCCTTGACCTGATAAACTATTTCCTTTGGACCCAGGCTAATTTATGTGGCCAGTTTACATTATGATTTCCGGGTTGGTACAAAACAGAGCCTTTGTAGAATTTACGTACTCAGAAACACACGTCCTTGCCTCCGAACAGTCCTGGGAAGTTGAAGTTGGAAGGGGCAGGTGAGTTAGGAATGGGAATGCCGTTTCCCCAGAGGAAGGAATGAAGCCCAGTGTCCCCGCGCCAAGGTGGGGCTGCCGCTCGGGGGCCAGCCTGGAGGTTGTCTGGATTCACTGCATCTTTCGGTGGTTTCGGTCTTTGCTGCTGACCCACAGAGCTCAGATGCAGAGTGGGAACTGGGGAGTCCTGTCCAGCCTTCCAGACAGACACGAGAGGCCCCAACCAGATCAGATGACTGTGGGTCACTTGGTGTTAACTGATTTCCAAAGAGAGTCCTGCTGGAAGTGCTCGGTAATGGCTGCATTTGGTCTGAGTTTCTCTCTAGCTCTAGCTCTCTGGCTTTCTGTACTAGGACTGCCCCCCCCCCCCCACCTCCTGCCCCTCGTCTGCCCTTTGCGATCGTCCCACAGCTCCTTCCTTAGTCTCTGATGCACCATGCATTTACCAGGTGCCTATGCTCTGCCAGGCCCTGTGCTCTGGGTTGGGGAACATAAAGATTAAGGGAGCAGTTCCTGATTGCAACCTAGTAGGCAGAGCTGAATGTCAAAAATAAATGCATCAAAGGGTTTTCTGTGCCGTTGTCGTGAGGGCTTTAGAGGAAGAAGATGTTCTTGGCATTGAGTCCTAAATGGCGTAACTCATCCAAGATGCCCCTCTAGAGTCAGCTTTCTGGAAGCAGCCGCCCAGCATTGATAGAACAACTTAGCTCTTGTGTTGCACAGGGCGGCTGTGAGCCCCATCTGGGCCGTCCGTGGCTGTAGGGGGATGCCTGGCTGGAAGCGGGCATCAGAGGTGGGGATCCAGCCCTCTCTGCTCGCCAGAGCCGCGCACCCAGGTGACTATCTGCGTCTGCCCAGAGTAAGAGGCATGATTCTCCCATTCAGACAAAGGCGGCGTCTGGGCTGGCAGGGGCTCTGCTCTCACTTTATAGTTGGAAAGCCTTTGCACCTGGGCCTCTCATTTGATGCTCTCAGTGACAACTGGGTGGCCAAGGACGAGCAAACTCTGGTCCAGAGAAGTTCACTGACTTGCTCAGAGTCACGAGGCAAGGAAGCAGCAGAGCCAAGACCCCTGGGCTGCTTTCATCTCCCTGGTGTCACGCCAACCAGATGATTCCCAAAGGTTTTCTGCAACCGGTGGAGGCTCATCCCACCTCCCCAGTGGTATCAGGCATGAGGTCTGTCTGTAGCAGCAGCAGGAGCACCAGGCGTCCCTGGGGCTCGGGCGATGCGAGGAGCCGCGTTGTCAAGCCGCCCGGCCTCTTGCCCAGCTGCATGTCTCATGGCAGCTAATGAATTGCTAATACAATTTTCTAGATAATTTTATTTCCATAGTCCCACATTTTAATGTGTTTCCAAAAGCTAGCATTTATTTGCTTAATCTCCCAGTGTAATAGAATCTGCCCTGACTCATCATACATGCGAACAGTCAGCTAGGCAGGAATGGCAGCAAATGCTTTAATAACTCAAATCTAGTCTCTGGATTTTTAGCTTGCATGCACCAGTAGCTTTTCTTGGGTCTTCTCCACTTCTCCACTCCCCCCACCCCCCGCCACCTTCTCCTTTTTAAATATTTTTCTGTCTTCTCAGCTGTTGGTCTCCAAACAGAGGGGAGGGGAGAATGGATACGGGGCCTCAGAGACCCCTTCTTTTCATCTCTGCACCTTGGCCAGGGTATCAGGGGTCAAGGAGGGCCCCTGAGCCCGGTGAGATGTACCAGGAAAGGGAGAGGGACCCTTTCAGGGACATGGTGGCATTTCCTTCCCAAGGGAGGATGATGTCATTTGAAACTGGCCACCCGGGGACTTTGGGTGCACCCCGCTTCCCGATGGAGCCCCCATGCCAGATCCTGTCATACTATCTTCCCCAGACCTCATTTCTCTGCCCCCCACTCCTGTCCTCAGAATCCCTCCCCTGGCCAGTCCCTCCCTGCTTATCTCCACCCTCTGGGGCTGTCCTGGGTCCCTGCCTGCTTTGAAACTTACTTGTGGTGTTTCCTGAGCTTGGTCTCTCTGTTTGTCCCTCCTCTTGGTCCTTGGCTTCTCAATAGTCTTCCTTTCTCAGTGCCACAGTTCTCATGGAGTCTCCCCGTCTTGTCCCCTGGCTGGTCTCCATGTCTGTGTCTCCAGCTCGTCCAGGACCCCAGTTCTCTGTTTGGTCTCAGCCTCCCCCTTGTCATCTCTTGGGGCCTACGCTTGGTAACTGTTCATGGAGGCTGCTGGATGGATGCGACGTGGGTTTAGGCCGTCCTGAGTATGGGTGGCCTGGGGGGGCAGCTTTGAGAAGCTTCCCTGGGAAGACCCAGGGAGCTGAGGGTTGTGGTGTCCTCAGTCCGTCCTGCTGCAGGGTACCAGCCTGCAGAACTCCTCTGGGCCTGGCGGTGTAGGCTTGGAGTGTCCCTACCAGGAATGTCACACTCTCTCTGACCCAGGTGCCTTCCATGCTGGGGGTCTCAGGTGATGTCCAAGGGGGCACCTGGGGTAATAAAGGGCTCAGCTTGCCCATGAGGCCGGCTCCAGCTTACCAGTGGGAGGCAGCTGTTCGACATCTGGCTTAGCTGGGGCTGGGGCTAGGGGCCCTTGGGATGAAACGGCCAGAGCAGCCATGTCACAGAGCTCAGAGCTCGCTGCAGGTGGCCTGCGCACCTAGGTGCGCTGGACACTGAGCGCTTGCCATCAGCCCTGGGGCTGCGCCCGTCTGGCAGGCCTCTCCCCTCAGCCAGGTTCAGCCAGACACGCCAGTACCTCCCCAAGTTCTTGCTGGCCCTGGGACGTGGGAAGGCTTCAAAGAGCTGTACCTTGTGACCCTGCTTCCAGCGCTCTCCCCTACCCTGGGTTTTCTAATTGTCGCTGGAGCGGCCCTAGACGTGCTGGGGCTCCCGGCCCAAGCGGGCTGAGAGCTGTCAAACTGGCCCTATGGTGCCCCTTCCAGAAGCCCGGACAGACAGGCAGCCCAAGGCTGAGCCCCGTGGTGGTAGAAATTAGACCTCAGCATTCTCACGTCTCAGCTCTGCCTCTTCTGACTGTGTGACCTTAGGCCACTTGTGTAACTGCTCTGTTTTCCCATTCGTGGCCAGGGGGATGAGAATGCCTGCCTTGCGGGCTTGGGTGCGCGTGTTCATTGGGATGGCAGCGTCGATAAAGCACCTGTACCGGTTCCTTTCCCTTGTGCTCATCGAGGCCGGGAGCAGGACGGTGCTGTTGCATTGTGTTCAGCCTCTCCCGGACCTGGATGCAGCTACACAGGTGACTGTGAGGGCTGGAGGAACGGGATGGAGGGGTCTGGCCTTCCTGCTAGTTCATCCTAAACCCAGCTGTGAATGGGACTCAGACAGAGAGAACAGACCACCCCTTTGCTGCGTCCCTGGATGGGCCAGACTGGTGACAAGGTCTTCATGCTGTCCTCTTCCGCCCGCTTTCTGCCCAGAGCTCCTTGATTCCGCACCGAGCAACCGGAGAGCTCTGCCCTTCCTCCCCTCGGGGCTGCACTGACAGATGCTAGGCCTGTCCACCTTTCCCACTCATGTCCTCTGCACAGGGCCAGGTGGTGCGGGGCTGAGCACCAGATGCCAGCCGGGGGGCAGCCGATGAGCTGCCCAGGGGAGCGGACCTGCTCGGGGAAGTAGGCTCCAAAACGGTGGGCAGCAAGCCCCCGGCGAGGACTCAGATGGTGGGTGTGGATGCTTCCCTGTGTGCTGCTGCGCCCGGAGAGGCTGTGGCTCCAGAGCAGGATCAGAAAGGTGGTTGACAGCCAACGGGGTTGCAGCTGGTCTTTGTGGAGTACCACGGAGCGGCGACCTGCGCTTGTGATCACTGCGGAGCACGACCAGACAGAGTGAAGGGGAATCTCATGCCAGTCTCTAGCTTACAATCCTCTGACAGTTGCCGGTTTGTCTTGAGATGCCTAAATGTCTTCCCGTGGTTTTCAAGACCCCCCATGGCCTGGCCCTGCCGGCTGCTTTGGTCTCTCCTCCATGTCTCCCCCCACCCCCCAGCTGTGCTGTTCTTCTGTCTGATCCTCAGATAACACGTTTCTTTCCAGGCCAGAGTGTTCACGGCCCCGTGTGCTGGGGGACCTCTGTGCTGACAGCAGAATCTTGCTGTAGGTTTCCAGGGATAGATCCCCAGTGTCCCAAAGGGAGTCCTTCTTACAGAAGGTACTAGAATAATCATCGTTGAATGAAGAGACTCTTAAGATGTGTGCATCGGTGCAGGGAGAACTGGTTTAGGGAACAGGGTCTGTAGCTAGCCTCTAGAGAGGATGCAGACCCAGGTGGCCTGGGCTGGGACGGCGGCTTCTGAACCCTGCCGAACTTCGGGCAAGTTTCGTAGTCCCCGTGCCCTGTTTGCCTTACCTGAGCAGTGAGGAGGTCGAGCCCGCCTTCTGGAGATAGGACATCAGAATAGATCTCTTCAACCCCGGCTGGCACGTGCTGTTTTTGTGATTGTGACCCCCCCACAGAGGCCACCCTGACTTCACACCTCCCGTCCCATGCTCCAAAAAGTCCCTCTGACGCGCGCCATTTTGATACCCTGACCTTGACACAGCCAAGCCATGCCTCACCTTTGTTGTTGTGACGGATTTGATTGCCTCTTTCTCCCACTAGACTTTAGGTGCCATAAGGGAGACAGGGAAGTCGAGTTTGTCCACCATTGGAGCCACACACCGGGTGCTCCCTCGATGCTGTGTGGCCTGGCCCCCAGGTTTGCCCCTGACCTTGGGGGAGTAGAGGCATAGCCCTGACCCTGGCCCCTGGTGCTTGCTCCAGCCGGATGAATCAGGAGCTGTCCTGAGGCTGTCCCCGATCCTGTCCCCCACAGGCACGGACATGGCCGTCTTCTGTCTGCTGTGCGGGAAGCGCTTCCAGGCGCAGAGCGCGCTCCAGCAGCACATGGAGGTCCACGCCGGTGTGCGCAGCTACATCTGCAGCGAGTGCAACCGCACCTTCCCCAGCCACACCGCCCTCAAACGCCACCTGCGCTCACACACAGGTAAGCCTGCTGGGGCCGGGAGGGGGGTGGCAGGAGCCGAGTAGCCAGGAATCTGTGTCTGGATTTACCTCCCGGGACATACAGGGGAGGAGTCAGGCCATGTCGGACCCAGCCCTCCTTTGCTCAAGGTGGGGGCGTGGAGGGGCTTCATAGCCCAGGTAAGTGTTAGCTCTTCTCCCCGCCCCGCCTAGGGGACCTGTGAGTCTCAGTCTCTCTGTGCTCAATGGAATGTTGAGTTCATTAGGAATTCAGGCTCTTGGGTTCCCCCCCAAAACTTGGACTTCATGGATATAGAAAGGGACCCAAGGCACAACGTGATGGACCCACATTCCCGAGAGATTCTGATGAGGGTGGACCCAAAACACGTTTTGAAAAAAGCCTACCCGCTTGGTCTCTAGCTGTCTGTGCCACAGCCCTTGCCTCTCCCTGGCCTCCACCGCATGGACACACGTGCCTGACGGCAGCCCCAGAAATATTAGGAAGGGGTCCTGCTTGCCCTGAAATAACAGAAGCAAGTTTTCTGTCCTTGTCCATTAACCTTGATTAGGGGAGACGATGAGGGCACATAAACAAGGAGCCAGTGATGGAGGAGGAAGGTACTTGTGAGCCAAGGGGGCTGGGCCGTGTGGCCGGTACTGGCTTGTCCCTGCGGCCACCCCTTATGTTGACCCCGAGGGCCAGGAGGCAGATTGTTTCGGGTGACTTAAATTCATTCCTTTCTCTACGACAAAACTGAGTCTTCACTGACTGCACATGGATAAAGGAGCGTCCCTTTCTGAGTCTGCGTGTGTCTCTGCCCGTGTGTGCTCTGTCCTGGGTTTGGTGTGAGACTGGGGCACGGGGTGGGGCCAGGAAGACAGAGACCAACTCCGTATCGGGGTCTGTAATAGGGTGTTGCTCATGATTCTTGGAAAGATTATCAAATCTATGTGCCTCAAGACACGAGTGGTAGGACCCTCTCTCTCTCTCCTCGTTCTTGGGTCTCGTCACAGCTCTGGGATTAAGTATGCAGGCCAGACCTTTCCTGGGTGGCACGCCCTGCTGACGGGGTGGGGGTGCTTTACTTATCATGGACCAAGCAGGTCCCCTCCCAGCAGCATGCAGCCTCATCCAGGAGCCTGCCTGGCCTTGCACTTTCTGGTGCCACTCACTCGGGTGGGGGGGAGCGCGTATCGCCTTAAGCATCACCTGACTTGCTGGAAACATTGAGGTTTGTTGGCATAAGACAAGGGGAGGTCTCAGCGGGTAGGGCCCGACAAGAAGGGCTAAGGCGGGTGTCCTCTCTGTAGTGCCTCTGTGCACTTTCCCTTCAGGTCTTCACATTCCCCCCGCCTGGGTCCCCAAGTTCAGCCTTAACCTGGTGTCTAGTCACCTTCCAGCGGCTTCTGAGCGTGCTCCTAGGTCAGATCAGTTGGCTCCACGGGACTTGAAGGATCCCAACTTGCTGAGTCTACCCAGGGTACGCCCTGCTCTGCCCGCGTTCTCTTCTAGGAGTGCAGGCCTCGAAACAGCCACGGCAGCCGGGCCAGTCCTGGCCGGGATCTGTGGGGAGGGGCTCTCTGCAGACTGAGTCTGGGAGACGGACTTGTGTAATCGAGGAAACGCGGAGCACGCTGCTGGCCCCGCGCGCCCGTGCTCGCCCCCCTCGATTCTCACACCCGTGAGGCCCGGTGCACACCAGCCCTCTGCAGGCCAAGCCCACCCCCCACACAATGCCTCATTACTATTCCGTTGTTCCTGGCCCGTTGCTGCTGGGGCCTGGGTGTTTAGCTTCCGCAGCTGTGTTTGGTAGGTTAGTCCGGCCGCGCTCCTGGCATTGATGGATCCCTGATTCGCACGGCTTGGCATATAATAAACCCTCAGCTGTGCTGAAGCAGGGGCTGGCAGGGAGGGGCCCGAAGATGGGGTCTGGCTGGTGCCAGGGAAACCACCAGGTGAGGCGAGGCCGCTGGGGTCACAGATGCACTGGGCAGGCCAGAGGGCCTCTAATTAGTCTCGTTTGTCCTGCACTTAATGTCAAGCTCATTAAAGAGGCTACAGAGTTAATCAACATACCACAAATTGGATTTTGAGTTCTGCTGCCAGTTTTGTGTACATTGTGGCAACACGGACACCATTAACTCTCAGGGTGAGGATTTTAGGCCAGGTGCTCGCCGGGCTTCAAAGTCTGTGTGTGCATGTGCGTGTCTTTTTTTTTCCTTCTAAGTTCTTTTCACTCCTTTCCCTGGGCTGACTCTGGAGATTTCCTATTTAAACTCATTTAACTTGTGATCCACTTCATAATTAAATTCATAAAAATCGGATCAAACAAACCTCTCTGCCTTAACCCTTTGTTTTTTAAACTCTCAGGGCCCCCCTCTGGAGGGGAAGGCACAGACGGCGGCTCCCCGTGACCCCCCCTACCCACCAGCCGGGTGGCTGCCGATGTACGTTTTAATTACCAGCTCTCGTTGGAAATCTCACGTGGCCCTTGTTTTATTTATTTATTTATATCTTAATGAGGATACTGAATCCTTGATTAAAGTCGTTATCGTTGCCAGTTTGGCAGGGAGGGGGAGTCAGATGTGAGACAGGGGCTGTGTGTTCAGACGTCTGCAGAGAGAGGGAGTGGCAGGTGGGCCACAGGCCTGCCCAGACTGACCCTCACTGGGACAGACACACCACTAACGAGGACCAGGGTCTGCACCGACCTGACCTCTACTCCCCTTGGGGTCGGGTGGGGCTGGCTGGGGACCAGGCGGTCTGAAGAGCCCTCGCAGAGAGAGGGCGGGCAGTGCCGAAAACCCCAGGATTCAGTCTGTCCCCAGACCCGCACGTGCCTCCTGGATGGGTACGAATGGGGGGCTGGCTCTGCTCTTGAGCTTCTCCCATCTGAGCGTCTGACTCCTCGCTCAAGTGCTCCCACCCACTCTACGCTGCCTTCGGAGCTTCTTGCAGAGAGAGAGGGAGAGCCCATGGTGAGCCGACCCCAGCATCCGCTCCCCACAGAGCCTTAAAAACCCTTCAGAGCCATCAGAAGAGATGAGAATTTATGTGGGGACAGGGGCCTGCGTTGGAGACGGGGGTGGGGAGGGGAGGTTGGGTTGGCGGCCTGAGGAGGAGAGAGACAAGAGAGTAAAATATCATTTTAAAGAGGAAGTGAAGGCACAGGCATGCGAGTCTATAACGAGAAGGACAATTTATGCCCAGGCACGAGTGCAGTTTGACACGGGGATAATGAAAAAACGTAGGTCATTGTGGATGACTTAAACCTTCAGCAGCTGAAGAAAATGTATGAAATGCAGAGGACATTACACGGTTGGCAGACCCGCACATCTGCGGAGGGACAAGTGAAATACAGTGGGCCATTCTTTACCATAAACTGTGGTTGTTGGAGATGCAGCCCAGAGAAATTGTAATTACAGTGACAAGACGAATCAGCGATATTTAAATATTCATGAACAAAGTCTGGGGTGATCTATCTATCTTTATTGTCTCTGCCTTCACTCCTGTAATAAATAAGTCGCTGAAGGCCTCACCTTTCAGCCCCCAAAGCCTCCACTTTGGCTACAAAGCAAAAGACGGTGAATCCCCCCACCCCAGCCTCTCACCCTCCAGGGGCCTGGCTAGCGCCGTGCACAGAAGGGAGGCTGATGGGCCCACCTTCCAGGCCGAGGGGCGGCCGCTCTCCCCGAGCTTCAAGCTTTGTCGTCCCACCCTTTCTTGAGCGTCTGCCCCGGGTCAGCCCTGTGCTATGTACCTTGGGGAACCAGGATTAACAAGACTCCCTCCTTGCCCTTGAGCCACTTCCATCCTAGAAGCACAGTGCACATGGCAGGAGAAACAGGACAGCGTGTCACTTAGCCATCTGATAGGTTATCACGTGTCTGGACCCCGAAACCAGATCTGAGTCCCGATTCCGCTGCTTATGAGCTGTTTGACAGTGGAGACCATCTGAGCACCTCATGCTTCCCCACTGTGTGATGAGAATTCTGTGTTTCTCGTCGGGCTACTGCAGTGATTCCATGATAAGCTGTGTGTAAGGTTCCTAGATGGTAGTGAGCCCACGGATAGGGCCGTTTTGATTAGAGAGTACCATAAAAGGTATCCTGCTACTAAAATAACACCATGCTAGGCCTTTCTTCTCTTTTGGGACAGAAGAAAGTGACTCAGTATGCCCAGGTGGGTGGCACTAGTGGGACGCTTCCAAACCATGCTGACGTGAGAGCTGGGCCTTGAAGGATGACTAGGAGTTTGGTGGGAGGGCGGGGACGAAATCAGGCAGAGGGGTTAGCTGCTGAAACTGTGGAGCAGGGAGAGAGCAGAAGGCGTTTAGGGGCGGTGTCTTCTAGTTTCCCAAGTTGGAAGGGTGTTTTTAAGGGTAGGGGAGTCAGGCAGGAATGGCTTTTGCCCCTGACCTGCAGGAGAGGGAGAGAAGGTAGCACAGGGAGCTGGGGGGCAAGGTGTCAAAGTGTACAAGTCTGTTCTCCCCTTGTGGGGGCCGGCCTGCTGTTCATCCTGGAACCAGTCGGACTCTCTCTTCCTGAGATTGGCTCTGGACCCATGGGCAAGACCTGGGCCGCAGTGACATATGCTTACGTGTGCACACACACACACTCCCTGGTTCACACCAGAGGCCAGAAGGGGCTGCGGGTCCTGATGTTGTCTTTGGAGAATGGTGGTGAAGATAGGCAGCCTCCATGCCCTGCTATCTCCTGGAGGGGGGCCCCGGGGGAGGCAAGGCCCTGATCCAGCCCCTTGTCCCCACAGGTGACCACCCGTATGAGTGTGAGTTCTGTGGCAGCTGCTTCCGGGACGAGAGCACACTCAAGAGCCACAAACGCATCCACACGGGCGAGAAACCCTATGAGTGCAATGGCTGTGGCAAGAAGTTCAGCCTCAAGCACCAGCTGGAGACGCACTATAGGGTGCACACAGGTACGGGGGACCGGGGAAGGCCCCCGAGCTGGCGTTGGGACCTGGGTGTCAGGGGCAGGGGGAGCATGGTGCAAGGCTGAGCCTAAGAGTGGAACGCGTTCTGGGAAAGGTGAGCACGCTGGCCCTTGTGCCTCCGCCAGGGCCAAAGCTGATGCAGACATTGCTAGTCGATCACCGCACACTGGCCTTCCAGGCAGCCATACCCATAGTTCGCAGAGGACAACGATCTGAGAATCCCTGATTGGGGTCAGGTTGGCCTGGTGATGGAAGACAAAGGCTGGCATAGCTTCTTGTAACTGGGTCTAGGGGGCACCGAGTTAGGCGAGGATGAGGGCTGGGCTGATAGTCAGGCTGAGCTTTTGGGGAGCGGAGGAGCAGAGGTATACACAAACCCCTTTACGTGTATAGTGTTTATCCCTTTAGAGGGCCTGCACGTTCCTTTTTCTGTAAAAGAATGCGATCCAGTGTGGGGTCTGGGGACAAAACAAGTGGAGGTGGCCTCAGGGTCCAGCATGGCCCAATTTGGGGCCACCTGCCCACAACAGGCCACCCTGCCCAAATCTTCCCGACTCCAAGGACACTGACGTCCCCTCAGCTGCTTCCGGTCTGCCACGTGGGGAGTGGTCATAACGTGGCCATGGGCAAATGCTACAGAATCCTTCCTTTCTGGAGAGCCAGTGTGAAACATCCTTCCTGGCAGTACACTACGGGTTGGCGGGGCAGAGAGGCAGACACTCAGAAGGACTTCCTAAGAGGATGAGAGGCAGTGGGAGGTAGTGGGATCCAGCAAACTAGGAGGCCTCCAGTCAGGGGAATAGCTGTCCCAACCAGAGGACAGAGGATGGGGGAGACGTGACCTCGGACAGGTCCCGCTGGCCACTGGCTGAGGGGAGAGTGTGCACCCATGTGCACACTCTCAGGGGCGGGAGCGGGGGCAACAGAGGACACAACAGGGAGAGGATACTGTGTTGTCCGAGCTTTGCTCTCTCGCCTCCAGCCTGCACCACAAGGAGAGCCTCGGGTGCTTGGTGTTGACAGCTAGAGTCACTCCGAGCATTTTCCAGAGCCCTGGGGCTTCCTTAACCCCCTGCCGGGGATGTGACCCGGCGAGCGGATCATTAAATGCATTGGTGGTGACTATTGTAAATAGCGGGTCGATAGTTAGATCACTTTGGCTGTTCATTACTTCATTATTTGCTGGGGCCTCTGCACAGAGGAGTATCGATAGCGAGATGGCTGGCCAGTTAATTACTGTATTGAAACAAGGTTCCCTCACACCCTCTGCTCAGCTCCAGGGGACTTGAACCGGGAGGAGGTTGCGGAGCACCCAGGGTGTGGCCAGGCACCCCCAAGCTGTCTGTCCCTCCCAAACCCCTTTCTAGCCCCACCGGGAAGGCAGGGTCCAGGGACAGCTTCTCGGAGCCTTAGAGGAGTAGCCGTCCCAGAAGGAGCACGTTTGAAGAACGGGGTTCCCTCACTTTGACCCCCCTACTCCCCACCAGCTGTAGCCCAGAAAAGGACTCTACCCCTTGTTCCCCCTGGAAAGAACTGTGCTGAAGAGCCATCCCCAAGGGCTTTTTGGTACCTCACTGGCCCTTTCCTAGACCCCCACTTCCTTTCTTGGGAAGGGAAGATTCTGGGCCTTTGGGAGGCTTGAGAAGAGCAAGGCAGGGCTAAGGGTGTGCGAGCAACACTGCAGCCGCGTGCTGCCCGGGGCTGGTGAGATGAGCGACCGGGAAGCGCCGTGGAACCCGCAGCTCCAGGTGCCCTGGCCACGTGGCAGGTGCCCTGTGGGTCAGTGGACCAGTGGCTGCCGCACTGGGTGGTACGTCCATCCTCACGGAGGGCTCTCGTGGAAAGCGCTGAACTAGAGGGACCGACGTCCCCAGCAAGCGTGAGGGTCCCCCTCTAGACACCCCCCCTGCACCCCCAGGGGGGCCTTCATGGCTCCCCCCCCACTGGCTCTCTCCCGCCCTCCCCCCCAGGCGAGAAGCCCTTCGAGTGCAAGCTGTGCCACCAGCGCTCCCGCGACTACTCGGCCATGATCAAACACCTGCGCACGCACAACGGCGCCTCGCCCTACCAGTGCACCATCTGCACCGAGTACTGCCCCAGCCTGTCCTCCATGCAGAAGCACATGAAGGGCCACAAGCCCGAGGAGATCCCGCCCGACTGGAGGATAGAGAAGACTTACCTCTACCTGTGCTACGTGTGAGGCGGGCCCGCGGCCGCGGCGGCAAGCGGGCAGCCAGGGGAGCGGCGTTCCAGCGGGGTGAAGTCCGCAAGCCACTGGGCGACAAAAGAGAAATAGAACAAAAAGGAAGGAAAAAAAAGAAAAAAAAAAAGGAAAAAAAAAATAAGAGACAAGAAAAAGGAAACCTGATAGCTGTCTGGCCTTGGACTCTCTCTGGGGCTCCAGGTGACCTGATGCCCGGCCACTGTCCCTCCCCGGGGGCTAGGGGGGCCCCCTCTGTCCCTCCTCTCCGCCTGGGCTGTGGTTGGCCTCATGTTCTTGGGTGGGGGCGGACGGGTTTGTTCAGCTCAAGGGCGGTATGTTTTTCTCGTCCCTCCACCTAGAACCCCCTTCGATGTCCAGAAGTGGAGGCAGGGGAGGGGGCAAGGGGGCCTCTGGTCAGAGCCCAACAATCCGCCTGCCCCCCCCCCCCCCCGCCTCCATTCTGCCACATTACAGTGTCCCCTCAAGGTCTCCAGCAGCTTCTTGGCTCTTGTCCCTCTCTAGCTCCTTGCTCCCTGCCTCCCTGTGACTCCTGTCCTCCAAGCACAGGGCCCCCAGCCCCTCAGGGACAGGGTGGGGGGGCGCGTCTTCCTCCGCGCCCAGTCTCCCTAGTGGGGAAGCTGGGTCTGACTCCAGATTCCCCACCCTGATGCCCTCAGCTTTCTGAGAACACCCTTGCCAAGCCCTGTCCTGAGCAAGGTTCCTGCTGAGCTGCTTTTGCTTCCAAAATGGGAAAACATTAACTAGCTATATACTGTCCCACCAAACAAACCAACACAAATCCCTACAACCCCAAATTCAGTCCCTAGGAGAAGGAATCCATGTAAGGACTCGTCATCTAAGGGAAGGATGTGGATGCCCTTCTTGGAGAAGGGGACCCCCTGTCTAGGGGTCAGGGTAGCTGGCTGGGCGGGGAGAGGGTTGCTGAGTTGTACTGGGGACCCCAGCCCTGGTGCAGAGAGCGGCACAGAATCCCCGGCTCTCAGGGCCCCCCACCCCCCAGTCCACAGGGAGGAGGAAGGAGAGGAGGACGAGGAGTTGAAAGCGCTTTGGCCCTTGTGTTCTGTTTTGCTTCTTTTCTGTGTCCCCTGTTCCCCTGTTAGCACATTGTACTTGAATTACCTCAGTTTTTTGTGACCTCATGAGCTTTGTTAACCCCTGTATCTCTTTTTTGGTTGGGGGTTGGAGGAATAGGGAGGATGTTTTTTTCTGTTTCTTGTGTAAATTAAGAGTTGGTTTCATAGACTTCCGCTGGCCTCAGCCCTCCCCATCCCAGCTGGAAGGAGCTGTACAGAAGGAGTCCAGTACTCAGGATCTGAACGTGAGAGCCGGGGTTCAGCAGAAGATGGGAGGAGGGGAGGGTGTGACGGGTGCACACGGGAGTCACTGTTGGTTCTGCCCAGGGCCCAAGTCCTCTGCGCCCAGCCAGGGTTCAGCCTAAAACATCCTAGAGGAGATCCCACCTTTCTTACAATTTGCTGGGTGATTAGAGTCTAGGGGCCCGTATTATTGTATCATTCAGCTCCTGGTGACCCTGTGGGCCCACCTCCCTGGGCTTGATCATTGCCAAAATTGGTCTCTCTTCAGGGCTGGGTGGGGATGAGCTTGGCTTTGTTTTGTTGTGTGAGGGTAAGGGTGTTGTTTTTCTAAAAGCTACCTCTTATGTTCCTCCATTCTTTTGTTCCCTTCATGCCTCCCATTCTGCTGCTCTGCTCCCCGCCCCCCTCTTTCTCCCCATCCTCCCCGCCCCTGAATTTTGGAAAGCACATTTGCAATATTTGTGTTCACTTTGGGATGGGCCCTCTGTTTCATCTCATGCTTTATTTGTAAGAGTTGTGTGTGTACGTGTGTGTGTGTGTGTTTTCTTTCCTTTCTCTCTCCGAGAAAGTTGTGGCTGCCATTTTTATCTTGGGTTTTGAAAAGTGGTTTCAGGAAGCGGTTTTGGGAGAAGGGTCATGAGGGCTCTAAGGAAGTCAGAGGGATGGGTGCTGCTGTGAACACCCCCACCCCGTCCTTTGGTCCCAGCCCTCTTGCCAAGCCCCTGCAGTCTCGCCCACCAAATCGGAAGGCCTTAAAAATTGTGTGTTGGGGGGGCGGGATGTGAACTGGGGGGACTCTGTCACTAGACTGTTGATTGGGGATGATAAGGTAGGGGAGATGCTATTTTGCAATTGTAATAATGACTTAGAGCTTTGGAAAGGAAAAAAAAAGTTGAAATATGTGACTAGAGCAGTTGTCATGTTGATAATGTGAAAAGAAGGACATTTTCTGGGGGAGGGGCCGTCTGTAAGAAATCAGTATGCACTAGGCTTCCTCCCCCAGTCTGGGAAGAAAGGGGACTGCTGGCCCTCAGGGGATCTGTAAATCCCAGAAAACAATATTTTAACAGCAAGCTATCATTCAACTTTGGTGGGGAAGGGGAAAAATAAAAATCAAACAATTCCATAGACCTAGCTGACACCTCTCACTGCCCCCCACCCTTCCCACGCAGCCTGGGTCTCCTGCCCTATTCATAAAAGCTGAGAGGGTTGAGCTAATATTTACAAATTGTAATATTTTTGTAATGTTTGTTAGTTCCTTCGTCAGTTCTACAAGACCTTGCCCTTTCCTTTTGTAATGTGAATAGGAAAAAAAAAAAAAGACAAAAAAAATCCACCACCACCACCACCAAAATATCCCTTTGTATGTGTGTGCGTGTGTTTTGTGTGTGGTTGTGTGTTCATCACACGGTATTGTTGTAATCTGGTATTGCAGCATTGGATGGTACTAAGTGAGTCCGTGTCTGCCTCCACCGTCCCTAGCCAGGAAGTAAGGAAAAGGGTCAAGGCTGTGGTGTCTGAAGGATATGGGGAGGGAGATGCCTCGTGCTGGTTTCGCTCTCCCTTCCCCCTCCGAGGAGCCTCGACGTCCCATGGGAAAGCCCGCATGCCTCTTTCCCAGGTTCCTACTCACAAAGACAAAATCCTTCGGACCTTGCCAAGGCCTTCTTAGCCGGGCCTCCTGGCCAAGGTAAAGGTCAAAAAGTATGTGGAATCTTGAGATGGGTCTGGATAAGGGGGAAAGGGGAGACGAGGGAGGGTGGAGGTGCTGTCTCCCCAGGTGAGAGCTGAGTGTTCTTACTTCCCTCTTCCTTCTGCCATCTGGCCCCTTGGCCAGCCGCTGCCTTTAGCCGTGAACTGCTGACTACCGTACTGCTTGCTACTGCCTTACCCAGCGTAGCGAAACTTCTCCAGCTTGGAGAGCCCAAGCTGGTTAGTGGTCCCTTTCCAGTGCTCAGCTCCTACAGGCGTGTCCCTTAATGCTTTCCGTGACATTTAGCCGTCATGTGATCTTTTCCCTATTCACTCCTTCATTCATTCAAAGCATTAAAATCCTATGTGTATATAGGATAGACAAATATAGAGATATATATATATAGCAAGAGAGAGAGATATAAAATAGTAAATGTCATTGCTGCTTTGGGCTGCTTTGGAGGAGGCCACAGATAGCGGGAAGGTAGATCTGGGGTGCAGGGGTGGGGAGGGAGACTGGGGGCCCCAGCGATCCAGTACAATCCAGGGATGCAATGCGGGCTTGTTTAATCTTCGTGCCTGAACAGTTTCTCTGTGTGTAGAAAACAAAACAAAACTGCTGCATTTTTTCACAAGTGTATGGTACCTTTCTGGATGCCATTGGTCCCACCGGCTGCAGGGGTGTTAAGGCCCCGGAGTGAGAGGGCCATTTGGCTTACCTCCTAGCAGGGGAGTGAGCCCGTGGTGGGGCGGCCTCCGGACTCTGTCCAGAAGAGGGCTGGGGGGTGGTGGGGCTGGGAGGAGAGGTGTAGACAGTTCCCTGCAAAAAGCCCCCCAAGGGTGAAAGATGGGGGCACCAGACGTCAGAAAAACAGAAGATCCGACTCTGTTCATTTTTCCAAGGCCTGTGTTCTATCCTTTTCTACCCCCAACTGGCTTCCTCCTTCCTGAAGCTTCCTGGTGGCACTTACCTGAATATTTCAGCAGGAGGGGAAACAGCCAGACCGACCCAGCTCAGGGGTGCTGATGGGTGGAGGAAAAGGCAGGGCCGGCCGGGAGAGGGGTGCAAGACAGACCAGGGAGGTTGGGTCAGGGGAGAAGGGTGGGGAGAGAGGGGCGCGGGGTCCCTGCAGGCCCACGAGCTGGCCGCCCTGCCTCCCGGGGTCCTCGGCGTCCCACTTTGTAGACAGGGTACCAGCCTCCTGGTGTGTGTCCTGGCATTCGTTCACAGTAGTGTGTTATGCATGACCTTTGTGAGGTGAAGAAGCCGTGGTGGTGCGCCATGATATCCGACCCGTATATATAAAGATAAATATATATATATATATGTATGTAAATTATAGCACTGAGGGCTCTACTGCCCTGCTGGACCAAGCAAAATGAAGCCTTTTGGTTTGGGTGTTATGTTCTGTTATTTGTTTGTTTTTGTGGCTTGTCTTATGTGGTGACAGCACAAGTGCCAGTCCGATCGCTCTGTATTACGGAATAGTGTTTTTAATTAATGGATGTTCTAGTTCATGTCTACCTCAGCACCTCCTCTTAGCCTAATTTTAGGAGGCTGCCCAATTTCATTTCTTCAATTTTACCCCGTTACTTTTTTGTACAAATCTCTCTCCCCCTCCCGCCCCCCTGCCCCGCCCCTCTCCCCACCCAGACTCCCCCCCGCCCCCCCGTCTCGCTTGCCAGCCCTACCTGTTCTCTCGTCCCCTGATGCCGTTCCCCACCCCACGTTGTGCGGTCCTGGTCGCAGCTTTTCCGCATCTGCCTTCGTTTCGTGTAGATTGATGCGTTTCTTTGTAATTTCAGTGTTTCTGACAAGATTTAAAAAGGAAAAAAAAAAAGAAAAAAAATGAATTTACTGCTGCAGGTTTTTTTCTCTCTCCATGTGTCACTAAGTGAAGTTTGTGCCTTCTATAGCAAAGAGAATATTTTTTACATCCTACTAACAGTAGATTTTTTTGTAGTGAACATTTTTTGTATTTTTAT